TCCTTTCCAAGGCGACAGTGCGACTGATGCCCTGTCCAAACGCCTGAAAGACGCTGTTAAAAAAGACTTATTTCGCGTCTCGCCTGCGCATTGTATTTTACAACAAGTCTTTATTCGCAAAATCTTTGAAAGACAAGCTGCGTCCGGTGACTCGATCAATGCTAGTTCATCTTTACTCGTGCTCCTGTGGTGCACGATACGTGGGTCGTACTACGAGGCGCCTATCTCATAGGATTCGCGAACACATCCCGATGTGGTTTTACAAAGGCGAACCGAGGTCTAGCAACAGCTCCATCCCGTGGAAACTTCTAGAGTGCGGTCACGCAGGGACGGGAAAACGATTTCAGATTCCTCTATACTATTCCTGGAGGTTTCCCGAGCGGATTCTGGAGGCATCTCTTATCTATTGCGGAAGCTATTTTATCCGCCACCTCAAGCCAGAATTGTGCGTAGAAAAACACTTTGTACGTCCTTTACTTCTTCCGTGGCCTACAACGTTTGCTGTGATTTTCCCCTGTACGCAGTTTGCCACCCTTACGGACCGCGTGATTTATTGATTTGTTCCTGTTGGAATTAGACATTCTGATCAATATGTAGCCCAATCCGACACATTTAACACTTTGTCGTCGTCATGTACTGTTTGAGTCAGATGAGAATTACCGAATAGATTTCTATTCTCAGTTTCTGCCTTTGATTTGTTCTCGGAGCTTTGCAATTGTATCGCACTAACGCACTGATCTCACCTCAACTGTTGGGAAAACCTTTGCAAAATAATTACCATGCTCAGTGAACAGTTCATTTAGTGTATAATATTTTAGTGAATAACATACCGTCTCTATGCTACGGGGTCTTTAAAGCAGCAGTAATGATATTGACGAAACCAGATGTGTATAACCGCGCGAAGCATTGTGCCTTTTCGAGTTTGTTTGATTTATCAGGCTAGCACTCCGCACTGCCACCATTAGATTTTTGTTATTGATACTGACTGCACACGAATTTCTATCTGGATATCCATCTTACTTTCATTAGCTTCCGGCTATTGACGGTTGTTTAACTCCATCGACTCATTGATCCTCCTGAAGGATCACAAGCCTGCCTTGGAATTCTAATATCGCGGTTTCGAGTTTGCGTAGGGGACCAGACGACCCTCGCAGTATCATTAGCCCACTCCCTACTATTGGTGGTTGCGTGGTAGTGAAGCCTCTGTACTGCGTACCGGCGTACTGCTGATACCTTACGATGAGGTTGTAGGAAGTTACCTTGCCTTCTGTGTTATTAGGAAGTGTGGTTTCATTCCCAGTAGAGCGGCTATGGTTCGAACGCCGAAATAAGATTGATCCGGTTATGATGGCCCACCTTATCATGGGTAACCGGGGACAACACAAACAGGGGTTGAGAAATAAGCGCCTTCATTTGACCGGATTGGAATAACTAACTGCTAGATACGAACAGTAGAAATGCGGTAACACCTTTGATTTCGCGATCGCACTGGGTCGGATAAGGTTTTCAATAACTGATGTGAGCGTTCTTCGGCTTGACTAACTCCCTCGCCCAGTCTTGCTTAGTTTTTCTTTTAAGTCATCTGCTGGCCACTTGTCGATTTAGTGCATTGGGTTGCATCGACAGCTAACAACTTGCACATAGGTGGACTTTCCTCGGGTATTGGTAGAACAGGAATATTAACTAACGTAGGCTGCTTGAGTTTGATAGGCACTTTAGCGTGGTACCAGAGGGTCTTTCTCTAAGCACTAACTGGCGAAATTTAGTGCTGTGCGCTCGTGTCTCCCACTCCATAGGGACTGTACTGCGCGAATTCGCTTTTTTACCCGAAAAACAACAACTACAATCTTTGAATGATAGTCCCCTATCCCACTGTACTTATATATGATTGCGACTTTGGACATTCATTGGCTTCGCTGAAACTTGCTATAAGATCACAAGGGTACGGACTCGTTGGTTTCGGCGTATCACTCTCCCACTCGGTGTAGCTTCAAATATGGAACATTCAATTGCTGATTTCACTAATATTGGGGCTTCTTTTTGTTGCTCTTTCTATTCCCCTTTGCTATCTTTCTCATTACCGTTTGCTTCTTGTTCATGTACGGAGCCAAAATAATACACCCGTCTGTCTTCACGTATACTCATCATTTGTTCTTCATTTTCTTTTTCTCCGTGTCCACTCTCACATTCCCACAGCCAACTCAACCTACAGGCTATGACATGCGCTCATCATCTTCCTCCGAATCAGCTGCCGTTCATCCAGCCCCAGATACTCGTCACTCGAACGGAAGTTCCACTGAAGCTCACCTTGAAGGTGCGTAGATATCATGTGGGAGTATTAAACTGTGTTTCATCATCAACGGGGTATGCATATGTGCCCTCAAGAGAGACTTGGATTTTTGCATACACTACTATCGAATGTCGCTCATCCCGTTTACTCTAAAGCATAGCATCATGACCCTACCTTTTTCCACAATAATGATACGATCATCGATCCATTTGTCCTTTGATGGGCGATGATTTTGTCTTATTGGGAGTTGCCGGTTGCGTGCTGCCGTGACCGGAGGACAGATCTTACCCAACTCGTATGTTTATTTCATGATGGCTTGCGAGTGGATTCCCTAATTGGTGAAATTCACACTGCCCTATCGTTTGCAACACTCGATCTTGCGAATCCATCTGCTCTCTCAATTTCAACTGCCTTTGCTTGCTTTTGATACCACGCCATAGCAGCACCGTTTCCCACTCTCTCCCCTCACTCTCCTCCACAGTTTCGAACGTTGTTACCTCATCTGCAAACTCGTGTTCAACCAACAGCCCTGTGAGTTCAGTTGATTGAATATAAACGTTTTACTGTTATATTCAACATTTTTTGCATGTTCATTAGTGGCTCTCTGTATCAGCGAACCCCACTATAACCGGCAACTGAACTTCTATACGAGATCGCGAGGCATGCTCATCAAAATTCATTTCCCTTGCTAAGTAGCACCTGTCCCGCCGGTGCCGGAGTACTTTAGGCATGTGTCTTGTAACCCACAGATTATCGGTTCAAACTTGCGTATGTGCGGCCGATCTCGCGGTATCCCTGGTTCGCACGTGACCGTTTGTGGTTACGTAGGTAACCAAGACCCGGTACGACGTACCGGCATATTGCTGGGTATTCTTATTTCACTTTCTTACGTGCTCAAATTCCGGTGCATTGGGTCTGTTTTCGAGTCTACACAACCGACCTTGTTTGTATTTCCCTCGGACACTCATGCACCTACACACACTTAATTGGCATCCCTTGCGAATCGGTGTCTGTTTTACCAGCCCGAAACCTGCGACCCATCTTTCACCTCTGGTTAACGTTTTGCGCTGATTATCTGGCACTCTGATGAACACGCATCCATTCCTCAACATAGTATAGCCAATGGATGTCGCTGCTTTGTTTTAGACGCACTAACATCTTCCAATTGTTATCACAATCGAGCAACGGACTCCCTCATTGCTCATTACATTTTGCTTCTTTTTATTTTTTTGTTAACCTGTACTCGAACCCGATCGGCGCTTTTCTTGATCAAGGTGTCTCCATACATACCTTTCCTGCAATAATTACTTGATGCTCTGGCCGTCGCAGAGGATAATAAACGGCGCCCTATCTGCTGCATCGAGCAGGGTGGATAGGGGTATGGATGCTACTGCTCAGGCCTTCCAGTCTTCTTATACCCCTTCTTGCGCTTCTTCATCCTTATCGCCCCGCTCCAACTTTACTTATATCCCCCCATTTTCAATCCCCCAATTCTTGGCCCTCCCCAGCTTACTTCAATAGTCGCTTGTCTTCTAATTTCAAATCACACACAATCACAGGGCCTCGCTCCAATCCAGTCGACAAGTCCATGTTCAACCAAGCGGACAACGTCAGTTCATCCATTTCCCTTTGGAGTCCTCGTGTCTGGCTAAGACTGGCATGCTTCAACGTGCGCACTTTGCTGCAGATTGGCCAACAGGCAGTACTTGCCCGCACACTAGAGACCCTATCGATCGATATTTGCTGTTTATCAGAAACCCGCCTGCAAGGTTCGAGCTCCGTGCTTACCATGAGATCCCCCACATGCGACACTGGCGGCACATTCTCATTGCGCCTGTCTGGCGATGATGCAGCTTCAAATGCCGGTCAAGCTGGCGTCGGCATTTTTTTGAGTCCCCGGGCTGAAGCTGGCTTGATTGATTGGATCCCAGTAAACAGTAGGATGTGCGCCGTTAGATTAGCTGGTTCGTTCCGTGCTACGAAGTCGCGCGGGGACAAACGGTGCCTGTTTGTCATTGCGGCCAACGCCCCTACAAACTGTAGCACTGATTCGGTAAAATATGATTTCTATCAGCAACTTCACGAGCTCCTTCGTTACAGAAGAAGCACGGATACTGTGGTGTTGGCTGGCGATCTAAATGTCCAAGTCGGAAAATTGTCCTCTGATAAGCTTCATCTGGGCGGCCAACATGGTGTAGGCTCCCGTAATGATAATGGTGAGCGATTGCTACAGCTGTGTGAAGATGCTCGTCTCTTTCTCGCGAGCACTAACTTTCGACACAACACCCGCAGAAGCGTGACTTGGCGGCCACCAGCCTCGGGCCAGCCATGCACGCAAATCGATCATATCGCGATCAGTTACCGCTGGAGGGGCTGTGTCCAAAACTGTCGCTCGATTTGGAGCACGAGCGTGGACTCTGACCACGCACTTGTCTGTGCCGACCTCCGGGTGCGTTTCGGTGGACGTCCGCAACGTCGATTTGAACGGATTGACACCAACCAGCTGGCGAAACCAGATGTTCTGAATGTGTACCAAAGTGCGCTGACATCTGGGCTGAGTAAGCGCCCACTAAACACCGTTGAAGATCATTGGTCGCATATTCGTCAGGCGTTGCTGTTAGCAGGCATGTCTTCATGTGGCAAAGCAAATTGCCAAACCGGACATTGGGTCTCTACACAGTCTCTGGAACTTATAGATGCTCGCCGACGTATTCCGGCTGGAAGCGAATACAATGAGGCTCACAAAAATCTCAGGGCAAAACTACGTGCTAGCCTGAAGAAGGACCGCGAAACCTGGGGGCCTCATCGTGCATCGGAAATGGAAACAGCCGCTGCCGTTGGTAATCATCTTAAGTTATTCTGTCTGATACGGGAAACAGGCAGCAGGAGAGCTGGTGTTAGCGAGACCATACGCGACGAGAGTGGGCAGCCGATCCACAGCCTGTCAAAACGCTTGGGGCGTTGGGCTGAACACTTTGCAAGGCAATTTAACCAACCTGAGTTATTGCTTTCTTCTTCGGGCATTGAGCGCCCTTCTCCCTGGGCCGTCTCCTTAGATCCGCCCTCACGCGCAGAAGTCGAACGTGAGATCAGGCTGATGAAATTGCATAAGGCCGCAGGGGCAGATAGAATTCCCCCCAGCCCTGCTCTAGTGGGTGATTTACACGAGTTGCAGTAAAACTTTGGGAGCAGGAGACAGTCCCGACAGACTGGAACCGCTCCGTCATTGTCCCAATTTTCAAGGGAGGCTCCCTTTCGGAATGCGGCAATCATAGAGGGATCAGTCTGATTTCGATTGCCTCTAAATTGCTTGCCTCTGCCATTCTCCACAGACTGACTGGCACTCGTGAACGCCAGATTCGTGAACAGCAAGCCGGATTTCGTCGAGGGCGGGGCTGCATCGACCACATCTTCACCTTGCGTGAAGTGTTGGAGCACCGCCATGTTTATTGGCAACCCACAGTTGTCGTGTTTCTTGACATAAAAGGTGCCTTCGACTCAGTCGATCGATGTGCCCTTTGGGACTGTCTGTTGAGGAAAGGTGTGCCTGATAAATATGTAAGCATTATCAAAGCGCTGTACGCGCATAGTTCGGACAGGGTGAGGGTTTATGGCAAACTGTCGCCACCCTTCAGTATCACCAGCGGTGTGAGACAAGGATACCCGCTGTCAACTTTCCTCTTCAACTTCGCTACTGATGAACTCATGGAAACAGCGTTCGCTGGACACGACCTAGAAGGTGTGGAGCTACTTCCTGGTGAGCGACTTCTTGACTTGGAGTATGCGGACGATATTGCCCTAATCTGTGACAGCTTCCAAACATGCCAAACAGCACTGAACCGATTAGCACTGGCTGTCAATCGTTTTGGGCTATGCTTTGCTCCATCGAAATTCAAAGTATTTCTCCAAGATTGGCAGGGACCTAACCCTGCGCTAACGCTTGGTGGTGATCTGCTAGAAGTTCAGGAATTCAAGTACCTGGGCAGCTATATTAGCACCCGTGGGATTGAATATGAGGTTACGTACCGTATAGTAAAAGCTCGAGGTGCTTTTGACAATCTCCGCCACCTGTGGCGCAGACGCGACATTACTCTCGCTCTGAAGGGCAGAGTTTACAACGCAGCCGTCCGTTCAACTCTCCTATATGGTTGTGAAACCTGGCCCATCAGGTCGACAGACATAAAGAGGCTCGTCATATTCGATCATCGCTGCCTTCGCAGCTTAGCTCATGTCTGGTGGGGGCACCACGTGAGCAATGAGCGTGTTCGACGTCGTGTATTTGGTGCAGGAAGAGCGAGTGCACCGCTCAGCACCATTATATCACGCACCAGGCTCCGATGGTTTGGCCACGTGTTGCGCATGCCAACACACCGAGTTCCGCGACGTGCATTGTTAGCGCGTTGTGGGTGCGGTTGGAAGAGGAGGAGGGGAGGCCAAGTGACGACTTGGTCGAGAGAAATGAAGACCCTCACTTCGAAGTTGGCGTCGGTTTGTGCATCCCGACTGCCTGGCTGGGGTCCTAAGGACGGTGAACACGTTTGGTTGGACACACTTGCTGATATGGCTAGGAGCCGGCCCCAATGGCGTTTGTATTGTGAGTTCCTTTGTCCATCCCCCTCCTGCTTAGCATCCCCCTCCAATCACGATCTCACTTGTTAGGCATAATATGACTCTTACGGCAGCCAGCTGTTGGCTCTCCGGAACGATGTCGATCCGTTACTGGAGACTCAGCGGGCGTGCCACTGCTTGTTTTCCTTTTCTTGTCTTTTGTATTGCGGCACAATAGCTGAGGTGTTTTCTACCTCCAGCTAACATGTAATGATGACGATGATGAAATTCCTGTCGAACTAGCGTTGTGCTATCTTTCTGTCACAAGGTTTTAACTATATTTTCTCCCGTCTCGAAACGATGAACCTTAACGCCTTTCCCGGACAACGACGAAACATTAAGGTGTGCTGCTATTGTTACGCCCCCTATTGGTCTGCGTTTTCATTCACCCTTTCACAGGACCCTTCTGATTGCTATCATGTTTCTCGGGAACACCTTCGTTAGCTAAAGACATTCCTTTTTATATGAACCCAAGTTATTCAATGTTGCGATTTACATCGTCAGTTTGATTCCCGATGACCCCATTGGTAATCGAATCCACAACTCTTATCTTGCTGGACGGCGGTCTTAAACTCAGAGTCACGAGAGACGACGATAAATAAAACAACTGTGACGAACAATATCCAACATAACTATGCTTGAACATTTGATACGGCTCATTATGTACTCACATACCACGCATACTACCATAGTCTATAGGATTAGGTCAATTAGAAATTAGTTTCACAGCTGCCGACTTCAGAGAAGTAGTTTGTGTCGCTATTCGATTTTAAACTAGTTCGCAACCATTCATTCGTTTCGTCGTTGAAGTCCACCAGAATTGTTGCCGCACACTGCAGTATTACAGCACCATCTCGATTATCCCGATCCGATGAGCAGCTTTTACTATTCTACAACACCAGCAAGTTAGTTTCCCATTCAGTATTTTCATTTTATTCCTTCGGCTTTCTGTCTCTCCTTAGGTCATTGTACGACCAAGTCCTCCAGCATCAGAGCCAACTATCTGTTACGCAACACAAATCCCCTTCCAAGACGTACACCCTTCACTCTCTTCGGTCCCCAGAATGTCTTTTGGCGATCCTTCGAATGAGCGTGATGTCAAGTCTTCCGAACTACAGGATCACACGATTCCTGCATTCTGCTCCTCTCCTCGGGGACATACCGCAAGCTCTTTCCAAGGCGCACCCCAACGGTTTCATCCAGCGAACAATGTAACCACGTGCAGTCTGTTAATGTCCGAATCGGTATATGTTCCGGTCACATCACATCTCTCCGTGCCTTTGGTTGACCTATCTGATCGTGAAGCAACTGCGCTCACTCCCAGAAGCGCTTCATCAGGTCACATCTGCAATGCTTCGCCTTCTTCTGTTAGAGCTGCTGCGACCACACGGCCGTTTCATTCACCTCCTCCACATTCACATCTTCTCCCTCCGGATAGCCTGGATCCGAATACTTCACAAGAGCTGGAATCCAGTCGTGTCACTCTTGTCCCTGAATGTTTGCGAGACACACTTCAGTCCTCATTCAGTTTCATTCCCTTGAATAAGTAAGCGCGTCACATACCCCTCCGTCTGTTCTGATTCGATAAATCTGCCTACTCGGGCAGCTTGCATCCGTGTGCGGACGCACACGGCCTATGAAAATAGTCCATGACCGGTCTTGTAATCCTGAGGTCGCAGGCTCAAACTCGTGTAGAGGCTGGTCGACCCTCGCAGTATCCTTAGCCAACGCATGACTGATATTGCTTGCGTGGCAGAGAATCGTCGGTGTTACGTGCTGGCGTACTGCTGATGCCCTTTTAATTCACTGGTCTTATTGACCGCGGGACGCAGTCCCATGAGCTGTTCCATTCCTTGCCCAACCATCGGCTTGTGTAGTCTTACATGGTTGTTTTCAACTCACTTGATTTGTTTCCTTGGGTGTTGGTAACCACCAAGGTCGACGTCAGTGTGCATGCTTATGGAATTCATCTTGAGGAACATGTTTCAATGTGCCCCTTTTCCTTTTTGTCTCTATTTGCTTCATAATCACCATTCTAGCTTAATCGAGGTGCCCTTCGTATTCTTCCATCGAAGATAATACGAAAAGAATTATACTGGTCCATTTGTACCCTTGTATTCGATTCGATAATTTCATATTTCTAAGAAACGGAGCCTGCATGCAGGTTACTTTATATCATTTCACTTAATTGAACTGGAGACTTAGCATCCTTTAGTTAATGTACATAGTTTTCCTGGGTGCATACGTTTGTCAATTCAGTGGTGGGGTCTTTAAATAGGCCGTTGCCTTTTCATTGGAGCATCGTTTTTACCTTACCATCAAATATTGCAAAGGAAGTCGTTGCTCTGGGGGCCAGCCCTGTCCTCTGCACATCATAACCTGCAAGACAGTGGAGGATGGGCCGCGCTATATCGCATTTAGATATCAGTCATGGCGGTCCGCTGTCGTCGTCCATGGCTCAGTGACATAAGTCGCTGACTCGCAAGAGTAAGGTCGTGGGTTCGAATCCGGCAGGATTCGGCGGGTGCACGCTACTGACGAGTCCCAATAGGACGAAACGGCCGTCTAGCGCTTTCCTGGATGTGTGGTGGCTGTCTGTCTGTGTCTAACTGCGACGAATCTACGCAATAACCTAATAATCCCCTACTACTTACAAATATTGCTTAAATTTCCTTCGGTTACACTATTTCAATGTCAATAACGCTTTACTGCGTTGACTTTTTGAGAAAGAACTTTGAGCTACTGCGCGTGCTGCGCGAAAACTCATCAAAAGCGTTCTCGTAACTTAAAAAATCATCATCCCGATTGAGGAACTGGACTTTGATACTATAGCTTCGTATTTCCACCCTGGCGGGGCCTTCAAATTCTGCCGTGCTCTATTATTCCTGTCTGTTGAATTCTTCAACACACACCTTCTTAGTTATATTGATTGAAAACCTTTTTGTTTTTATTCATCACTTCTGTGCGATGTTAACCTACTCGCACGATATTTTGCTATCGCTATGTGTTTCTACACACGCGAATGGCGCATTTTCCAACGGCCGTGTTATAAAATACAAATTGAAAAGCATTTATAAGTATTGGAACCATTCTGTACGAAAACACCATGCTGGATGGAGAGTCGTTCTTTGAAAGAAAAAGCTCGGAGATCTGAGCGAGCTTGTATTGCTTAGCGCCAACATCCGTTCGCTCATTAGATGAAGTACCGAGTACAGTCTCTACTAAAGAATTTTCGCAGCTGGACATCATTATATTGTAAGCAACCTAGCTCCACGAAAAAGTGGATAATGCTGTCGTATCGGTTGGAGAATTCATTTGCCATCGGGTTGACCGCCCTTACACGTACCGAAACAGAGGCGGAGAGTCCTTATTTCCGCCAATCTATCTTGGTATATTGCAATAAAACGTCTCATTTGTTTCTCTTCACAAGTCATTAACTGCCTAGTCCTACAATACAAGCCGAGGTGTTTTGGATGGCCGCCGCTCACTATTGTTGGCTAACATCTATATCTCTCCCACCTGAAGCAGAGGGTTTTTACGACGAATTTACGTCGTAGAACACATCGACCAGGGATTTCAACAGATTTGGTACCACTTTTCTCACTACTCTGGGATTACGGAACATTGTAAATTTACCCACCAGATTAGACGCAACCCTGGATCTGATATTCGTTAATAATGCGAAATGCTTCTTTGGATGGAATCGGGCTCTAATTTGCAGTGCTTACCATACAACAATCAAAGTTTTTCCCGTCATCTACCTCAAAACTAACCATCAGGATATCACTCGCTGCAATGATCGAAAGTTCAATTGGAGGCAATACTCCATACAAAATATCGGCCGACTTCGTGCAATGATTGGATCCACAGTATTTAGTTTGTTCTTTGACCCTGATGTATCCAAGTATTGCGACACTTTGACTGTTTTGACATCTGCTGTTCTTTGGAAACTCTAAGTCCGCGCTGCTAGGTACTCCTTCCCCTCACCTGAACTGACTGCCCCGACGGAATCTCAGTATATATACATATATATATATATATATATATATATATATATATATATATCGTACAGATACTGTGCATTCAGATTCATGGTGGAAGAAAACAGGATACGAATAGGAAGAAAGGAACAAGCTTTCTTCAGTAGTTTTTTTCACAGTTTTTGTTAATTGTTTGTTTCATTGTGGAGGGGAAATCACCGCAACACACAGAGATACACGTCCGCGATTGACGTCGTTCTTGAGCCATGACTTCTTGGGTCTCTAACCAACGGCACTCTATATCTCTGAAATCCCAACCAGGGAATCGCGAACAACCGACTGAGGCCAACTGTTTCGTCAGCTTTTCATGTGACTTCATGTTGTAGGTTGTCCACTGCGCCATCTCCTCCAGTCCTGTCCAGCAACCGTGAAGAACGGCCGACACTTAAGACGATGAGCGGGCATGCGCAGTACTTGTCCAAGCCACTGCAGCTGATGCAGCGGGACGAACTCCTCAAGCGAGTTGCTACCTTCACCCAAAACACGCTGTCTAACTTCCGCATTGCTTACGTGGTGCAGCCACCGCACACGGGAAATGAACCGCAAACAACGGTGCTCGAAAACTGACAGCCGGCGCAGGTCGACGTTTCGAAGGGGCCGTCTCACAACCATACAACAGGACAGCGCGGACAGTCGCACAATAAACCCACCTTTTGATGGATAGACGGATGTCATGGCGGCGCCACAACTGCTTTAGTTTTGAGAAAGCGAGACGAGCTCTTGAGATACGCACTGAAACCTCTCTAACAACTCCTCCAGGCTTGATGCAACTTCCTAGGTAGACGGAACTCTTCACGACCTCCGATGTCTCGCCACCGAGTGTGAGCGGAGGTATAGGCATCTGTCAGTCTTGAAAAAATGCTTTACAATTGGTTGGGGAAAAAGCCATCCCATACTTCGACGCTTCCGTTCCAAGCGGTTAAGCGTAATTTGGACAGCCTGTGAACCGTCATCCAACAAGACGATATCATCAACGTGGTCCATATCAACTACTTGGCGCCAGCGTTCAACGCGTCTTTTAGGGCATTTTTGAGGAACTTTAATGGCAAATTTGTAGAGGGATGTGGAGAAGGCATCATTGTTGAACCCCACTGGTGACAACAAAGGAGTGTGAAATCTTGCCATAAGCCCTAACTCTGCCTGAGATCAGACTATACATTGCACACAGTACGGAAACGAACTTCCTGGGAATGCGATTTCTCAACAGATTGTCACAACGCAACCCTGTCGACAGAATCTAAGGCAGCACGGATATCCAGGAACACAACAATCGTTGGCTTTTGCTGCACGGCGGAGCTGGAGGATCTGGCGGAGTGTGAAAATCCGATCCATGCATCCGCGACCAGAGCGGAATCCAGCCTGTTCTTCCCACTTTAGCGATTCGCGCACTGGGGATAGCCTGCGAAGTAGGATGGACCCCAGAAGCTTGCAGTCGATAGGAACCAAACTTCTTCCTCTGCATTTGGAGCACATTGTGCGCAGGCCCTTTTTGAAGATGGAGACGACAATCGACTCAACCCAAGATGATGGAACCTCCTCTTTCAGCCAGACCTCTGAGAACAGAGCAGTAAGTTCTCATACCAGCGAATAGCCACCACCTTTAAATAGTGCGACAGGTAAGCCATCAGGGCCCGGTGCTTTCTAGCGCTGCAAGAAGCGGAGTTGCTGCTAGATTTCCTGGTGAGAGGAGGATCTGTGGGGACAGACTACTCAGCATCAGTGAACGCTCCAGGGGAAGCAGATGGGGCTGGTGGTCAGCAAAACTGCGAGCCAACATGTTTAGCCCGTTGTTGAACATTAGTGATTAGTGGGCCATCCTCTTCGCAGATCGTTTCACTTACTACAGATCGGAAACCTTCGGGGGCTCGGATAAGATGCAAAAGTTTTCTGGTATTACCAGAAAGACTAGCAAGTTCCAACTACCACCAGGTTTCACGGTCCTTTTCTAGACTCCTGCGCAATTATCGATCTAGGGATGGACGACCGGGACCGAGCAGCGTCTGTCCATCATCGACAAGGAGACATCAATGATCCTGCTATTTGGCGGGTGATGGGTGACTCCGCAACTATCAATGCTGACAGTAACTAAAGCATTTTTGATGCGCATCCACTGTGAATTCAGATCATCATCAGAAGCTGGGGTATGCAGTGTTGACAAAGAGGCCTGGTATTTGGCTAACGTCGTAGGGTCTTGTAGGTTTTCTACGCTCGGCCGGTAGTGCGTAAGCCTAGGCGGTCCTCCGAAACGCATGAATAACTTAGCGCGAACCAGTGCGTGGTCGGAGTTCAGACAAGCTGACCAGTACGAACGGCAGTCTGGTACGCTTACGCGCCATCTGTAGCTTATCGCGATGTGGTCAAGCTGGGACCACCCTTGCGTTTGAGAAGGCGGGCGTCAGGTAGCAGTCTGTCTCTTCGAGTGTCGAAAACTGGTGATCGAAAGAAACAAGCGATGATCAAAACAAAGAATCAATAGTCTGTCTCCACTCGTGCATTTAAGTCTCCG